GAGTTACATCAGTGTCACCTGGCTACAAAAGTAGTTTTGTAGCTGTAGTTTTAATTGTTGTAAGAAAATTTGGGGACCACCTCAGTGAAAATGTTTACACATTTTAGCTCAAGGTTGCAGAACACCTTTTCTTTAACTTTTGCTAAAAAACATGCTCTTTTTTTCCCTTGCTGGTATTGAGCTCACTTTTGAATTTAATATGCAGCTTGAAGAGGATTAGCACTTACTTGTCATTATTTTGTCATGTCTGTTTAATCAGAATAACCTTGTTGTGCTATTTTTAGTGCTCTTTGTGGGACAGAATAGAGGTTTAAACAAGTTATTATTAGCATCAAGATTGACTTGAGTCACTCGTATGCTCAGTATGTGTCATGTATGTGAAAATGGGAAGTATTGTTATCCCCATGATACAGTTGAGTCAGTAGCAAGAGAAACTTCAAACAATAGCATGAACTCTGTATTCTTTATYATATTTCTTTCAGTGTTAAAAATACCTGGATACAGTAAGATGAATCAATAAAAAATAATTTAATGTTAACATTATAGTATGTTTCTTACATGAGGATTCTGTTGTGTACTGTAAATCCTGTGTGTACATTTAATTGAATATGCTAATGACAGCTTCAGATAAGCAAAGATTTTTAAATATGTGAGAAAATAAAAAGATTAGTGACTTCTGCCCATCTCAACATTCTGTTGAAAAATAAATTGCTTAGACATTTTGGAGATTTCAGCTGTGTTATGTAAGTGGTTGTTTATCTGATTCTGATTGAGATCCATCCACATTAATTTTTTGCAGGACTTTCGTAATCGTGTAGATAAATGGATTTTGAATATAAATTAATTCCAAATTAATAATGGAAGCCAAGGTGCTATTACATTTTTTGGCACTTTTTGCATAAATTCACTACCTTCCTCCTACTTTTTAAAATAATACGTAAGATACTGTGTTCATTGTTGCTTTTTTTGGCTAACATGGATATTTTTAGGCCAATTTTTTTTAGGTGTCAGGGACTAAAGCAAATCTTGTGGTGATTGTGGGACTTTTTGTATTTGGAATCTGGTTTCTGTACATTTCTCCTAATTTTGGGAGGTTTTGAGACTCATTTGTCATCCCTTCTCAAGTCAGAGTACATGAGACTCCAGTCTCTGGATGGCTTGGCTGGTGTTATTCTTAGTTTTTGATGAATTCATATTGTCCTTTACAGCACCAGCTGTAGTATTTCTCTTCCTAGGTAATAAATAGTTGAAGTAATTTTTAATACTTCTAGTTCCTTCTTTGTTGCTGTTTTTTGTTTTGTAGAAGTTGATCTATCTGTTGCAGAGTACCCACAAAGTTAAGGTATCAAACACAAGGGTATTTAAAGTATTAAATTTGAAGGCCAGAGTTGAGTCTTTGTCTTCCTTTTGCAGTAATGCCTGGCCTTGCCTGGCCTTACGAAAAGCTGCAGACAATAACATTGTCTATCCTTTGTTTTTCTGAGTCTCTCATGTTCCTCAGCATAAATTGCCTTCTCTGATGCTGTTTCATTCAGCTGTAATAGATAGCCCATACGTGACAGCTGTAACAGATAGCCCAAAGACATTCCAGATATTCTTTCCCTTTTTTTTTTCTGGCCTAGTTTAGGAAATGAGAGGAATTACTTAAACCATTTTTCTTTTGTTTCACTTTCTGTATGGCTTATAAGATTAGTTCCATGGTGAGTATTCTGTGTGGTTGTTTGCAGGATTCAGATACACTCTTTTTTCTGGAGGTAGGAACACAAGAGCTGGCTAGTGAGCATGTGTGTTTCTATAGTTCATTGCTTCTAATTTGTGGGAGATTATTTCCCCTTTATGGCTGTGGCTAAGTGTTACAACTGCTAGAGTGACATCGCTAGTTATCATTTCCTGCTTTGATGTGCTCTAAGGAAGTTCTGCTTTAAAAGCTTACTATGCAAAAATAACATTCTCCTAGTCAATTCTCCTAGATTCAAAATAGAATCTATTTTGTTTTTAATTCCGCCTTACCTACTGACAATAGTGAAAAATTTATTGTTTTCCTTGTCTTGTCAGACTTGCAGAGGCAAAAGTTTCTAGTAGAATTATGATGTACTAAACACTCTGCCTCAGCTCAGCACTCCCTGTCTGTTCCATAAGAGTGCTGTACTTGGTTCAGATGTGATCTCTCTTCACAAACATAGCTGCTTCACAGATGGACACAAGCTTTACGAGCTTGTAAAGCTTTGCTCACTTGCAATCCTCAGCTCTCAATGGCTTCTGCAGCTCTGGCCTGGAGAGTTTTTCAGCTTTTTGTATCAAGGGTGTTGATGCCTGAAAAAGGCCTAGAAATAAAACTCCATAGACTGGCTTCTATAGAGCAGGTATTCGTTTATTGCAATGCTGGTGTAGCGCTGGAGGTGAGGGGGTTCACTCCTAACCCATCTGCCTTTGCTTCAAATTGGCAGTTATTTATACAATAAGCATGGTGTAACATTACCGTCATCACTACACCCACCATCATATATGGGTACAGGAATACACGATTCTGATATCACAGTTCTGCAAGTACGCATAAGTCATCCTCAATTTGGTGGTCGTGGGGGTCTCCCARTAATGAGATACCATCATCTTCATCATGGTGGACTTCAGGGCATGTGCYGTTGTGATATTTATGGTTTTTTTTTTCTAGTTCTCCAGGTCTTCATTTCTCAGTTTTCAGCTGACTCTCTTGTGTCTCTGCCAAGTTCTCATTAGTGCTCTCTACTGTTCCTTGTTATAGCGTCTACCTGTCTACTTTTTCTGATTTATGCTCCTTGGCAATTTTGCGTGTCCACATACTAATCCAGCTGGCTGGATTACATCCAGCTGGTGCACTGTATGTTGCTAATACCCTATATAAAAACTTATAACAGTATATGAAAAGGCTATTATTGATAATATATTGAAAGCTGTTACATTGTATATTAATAGTATGTAAAAAGCTGTTACAGTCTATATTGATTATAGAATAAGAAAAAAGTTTATCGGAAGTTTTCAATTAAGGCCTCATAAGCATCTTGTCACTTTGACATAATCCATAGGTATCAGTGTACTGAAAACTGCTCAATACTGACAGTGCAGATATTAGTCATTGCAGCCACTAGTCATTGCATTCCAGTCACTAAGTATCTCTTTCGAACTTATATGTTGAAAGTGTGCCAGTTTTTGGATCCCAGTCCATACCCGTCATGGCCAGAATGGAAGCTTTGGACAGAGTTTATTAGAAAATCCCTCCCACTGAATAAGGAGGTACAAAACTTGCTTTCTAAACCCCTTCCATGCTTAAGTCCAGCTCAGAGAGGCGTCAAGGTGTGGTTTGATCCAATCTTAGCTCCAATCTTAGTGAACAGTTGATGTTTAAAGAATTGTGCAAGTGCAGTTGAACCTTTGTGCAACTCTGTCCCACAGGATTAAGGATGGCAAACCAAATATACTTACATTACTAAAATAAATTATTTATTGATGATCATAAGGATAATTTCTAGACTTAAAGATTATTCTTATTTAATACATGGTACAGGTATAACTTCTAGCATAGTGCATTATTTACTCAAGCCATGTTGAGGCAACAGGATTAAAGCTAGCAAAGTAATTCAGTAGAAATGGATGGCACTTGCCCATACYAGTGCTGTGGGGAAGTCTCTTTTACTCGGTCTTAAGGAGTAACCTTGAAGTGGATTCCCACTCAAGCTAGGAAGCTGCACACACACATCCAGGAGGGATGTGTCAGAATTCTCTGCCATTAAAAAGAGGGCCTGGGTTTTTATACTGTGAAGTGATTGACAGCCAGAAGTATCAGTTGAGCAGCTTTGCTTAAATTACCAGCACTGTCACTGTTGGTTTATCATGAAYTTCTATGAGTGGCTCTGTGTGCTGCATTCTCACCAGTGACATTTTCTCTCAGGAAGACTGTTCTTCACTAAATAGAATAGAATTGAATGTTTGGGTTTGATGAGTCAGAACGGTCTCAGCATTCTTCAACACCAAAAGCAGATGACCCACTGCTCTCCATCACCAATGGTAACTTTTGCAAATAGAAGCAAATTTGAGCTGCTTTACTGTCACTTGGGCAAATTATCTTGATGGCCCCATAAGCCCCACAGATACCGTGGCTTGACTTCTCCAGCTGACATAAAAGCAAACATTATTCATCAGTTATTTGCAGGTGACCGSAAGTATACTGCTGTTTAATCATCATAGTTCACTTGATCCATGGTAACTTATTAAACCCTCATATTTTGGTCACGTGTGCCTGAACCTGTCTAACAGTTTAAACAATTAATTGCAGAAAAGACAATAAATGTTTCAAAGTGATGATGAGTTTATAAGTGATTTTGGGCTCAGCTAACAGCTTGACTGGACTCTGAGCTGCCATAGTTTAATTTGCAGTAAGTTTTAAGCTGATTTTTTCAAATTGGTAGAAAAGACTGTGGGTGTTCTCATATCAAGTTAATTAAGAGAGCTTTAGTTAGATTTCAATAAATTAATAGGAAGTTTATGCTAAAGTGAATATATTACTCTTATGGTAAAATAAGAATCTATAAGGAAAACATGGCCRTTCCTGAACTAAGCTTATTTGTAAGAGATGACCTTTCCTGAATCATAAATACTTCATGTATTTAACAGTGTTTTTGTGAAAACTACCATGGTCTTTTATTAAAAAGTCTAATTCCAGAATTCTGTGAAGATAGTCAAACACAGTTTGCTTGCAAATTTCCAGTTACCTTCCCTTAGTCTTTTGGTGCCTTTTTGTGTAAAAGTCATTACGATTTATTTCTGTAGTATTTATGTGTCACATTGTAACCACAGTCTGAACTCTGTCCTAACAGCTTTACTCTAAGTCCATCTCAGAGCGTGTGAAATGGCCCTAGAAGGACTACCCTCTGCTTTTTGTTGCATCCCTTGCAGAGTCTGTTAGGTAGACTCCATTTGAGCARGGAGTGTTGCGTTTTATCTGTGTATTTTTCCTGTCAATGCAGAAAAAATATTCTTCAGTTCTTGGATGCTGAAAGAGATGTCTCGGTGGTCAAAAGCAGCTTCAGGCCAGGAGATGTAATTCATTATGTACTGGACAGACGTCGCACTCTAAACATTTCTCAAGATTTGCACAGCCTTCTCCCTGAAGTTTCACCAATGAAAAATCGTCGATTCAAAACCTGTGCAGTTGTTGGGAATTCTGGCATCCTTCTGAAGAGTGGTTGTGGTAAAGAGATTGATAGCCATGACTTTGTAATAAGGTAAGTTTTTATCTGCTGTTGAAAATGCAGGTTATATTTTCTTTGAGAAATGTTTTAATCTGAGATACTTACTACAGACTTTATTTGAAATTAATCTGAAACAGGATCCATCACCATGTGATTCCTCAGATTTAAATTCATGCCTGTGTTATTGCCAAGAAGATTATTTTTTACAGTGAAAATAAAACGAGGGAGAGAAGTTTGCACTACTTACTTTTACTTTTTGCTGTTCTTACTCCAGACAAAATAAATATTCTTACACAGGCCTTGGTCACATAAATGCATAATAGTTTCTCTTTTAAAAATACTTTCGCTTAGTTTTTGGTCAACACTGATAGCCTTTTGTAAATTACTACATTACTTATATGTAGCATATAGTAAAATGTCAATGTGGTGTATTAATATAGAACTAGGCTGCCACTGAGGTGGTTGAAAGTCATTCAAATATATTTCTGCATGTTGGTTTAAAAATCTGTTCTTGCTGTTTAGGAAAACAAAAAGTGTCACTTTTTATTCGTTCTTCAAACATACACAATAGAGTGCCTTTACATTTCATGTATCAAATGGGACCTCATTTGACAGCTTGGTGTTATATAGAAAATGTTGAGTAAGGAATGGGTACTTTCGCTTTTGAAGCGGAAATTTCAATTGATTTGCCTTTAGAAGAGTGAAAGGGCCGAAAACTGGAGGGAAGCAGAAAGCGGTATAGAAACAGTAGTCATTCAGGGTTACTTGCTTTTTCTTTTGTCACCTTAAAGAATGATGGTGGTAACAATATTGCAAAAAGACATGGGAAAAAATACAGTTTTGCAGTRCATGAATAAACGAAGAATATACATGAGCTTTGTATTTAATTGGAAAGGTATGCTAGCAAGTTGCAGCTGAAGCAATAACACATTACTCTCTCATTTTCCTTATTTGTCTTACTTGTACCACCAGTTATTCAAATTAGCATCCTTACTGCAGAGGAAATCCAAAAATAATTACCACAGTTTTAAACCATGTTTAACCTAATGAATGCTTTTGTACTCTCTGAGATGTGATTCATTTAAAATATTTCAGAAAAAGTTAGATACTAGATTTTCTAGATGAAAATTTTCTAATGGAAAGTAAAGTACATACTTTTATTTAAATGATCTGTTGATTCGTTTGAAGTAATCCCCATGCTATTTTACGTGTTTTAATTAGCTGTGAAACTAGATGATGACGTCAGATAGGAGGTTTTAATTAATTCAAGCTATGCRGAGGGAAGATAATATTCTGAAAGATTTGGTGAAGCTTAACAGGAAGAGTRGGAAGTTATTGTTGCTAATCAGTTCTTTAGACTGGAGAAAGATGTGGCTGTTCTGTGAGTATAGTGAGGAACTGTAACGGGTTGCTTAAAAAAGCTTTGCATATCCGATCCCTCGGAAGTGTTCAAATTCAGGTTGGATGGGTCTCTAAGCAACCTGGTCTAGTGGAAGGTGCCCCTGCCCATGGTGGAGGATTTAGAGCTAGATAATTTTTAAGGCCTCCTTTCAACCCAAACCATTTTATGTTTCCATGAAACATCTGTCATATGGTATATGACAAATAAAGTGTCTCTATAACAACTGGTGAGTCTGATAATGTTGTGATTAATATTCTGTAATGTTCTGGGAATAACATGCTTGGCTCTACTGCCAATAGGGAGTTTCAATACAGTAATTTTTTTTTTTTTAATTTACAAATGAAAGTTAAAATGTTTTAGAAATTTACATATTATCTCATAATTTCAACAATATTATATTTATTTAAGTCTCTATGCATGTATACAGTTACATTGCATCTTGTCCTGGGTTGATTTTATGATAGCATTGTATTCCTGTAATTATCTGCTTTTATGTCCTGAAATGTGGGGGACACATTTGGCTTTACAGCAGGCCCGGAAAGAGCGGCAACAGCGGTGGAAAGGCAGTGGGGGCTGGGTTTAAGGTGGGCTGCCGGGCACAGACAGTGCATGGGCCAGGCATTAGGGTGTAATATAGTTGCCTCTTAGCTAGCTWGGAGTTTGGTGTTAGCTTGGGCAAAATGTTTTCCCTGGACTGCGGTGGCCATTCTTCAGCAGCTCCTGTGGCTTTCTTTTGGAATGCCAGCTTGGCTTTGGTCTGAGACGGGCACTGGCTGAYTGGGGACCTGCAGGGAAAATGAGGGACCTCTTCATCTCCACCCCAGACTTTGGAGGAGCTGAGCCGGCAGGAGAAAGTACACCAAGCCCACCAGCTTCATCTTCTGTGAAGAGAGGACTAGCACCAGAGGTTTACCAGGTTTCCATTTGTTTGCCCGAGTTGCTATGTGAACTCTCTTTAGTTGTTTTTTTCTGAGACAGTGAATTTCTGGAGTTTCAGTATCCAAGAGTTCATTGTTTTTTGGGGTTTTTTTTCCATGTCCTGTGAGCACCTTATTTGTTAAATAAAGGATTGTTTTTCCTTCACTTTCACCCAAGCATCTCTTTCATATTGGTGGGAAAAAATTACCAAACTTTCCACTTCAGAGAAAATGTTCATTCCAGAGCGTTTTTCTCAAAAAAATTTGTCTTGCACCGAGGCACATCTGTTTGAAATAAATAGCAAGGAATTTGTTTGTAACTCAAGTTAAAGAAAAAAACAAACCCTTCATCAGAGGTAGTTTCCTACATTCCTCGTCTTTCATTTAGAAAAAGTTGTATGTTACTTGATATCCAATCACATGGTGTAATTATAAAATTCTGGTGTGCTTCATAAGCGCTTACCTCTATTGCAGTTAGGATTCTGGTATTAAAGTGTGCCATGATAATCTGTTAATCTTTTTGCTTTCATCTGATCTCTATAGAAGTGAAATGTCCTCACTTATGTGCCAACTGATGGTGTTCTGGAAAGGAGCTACTGAATGCATCCAGGTATATAGGCTGGTGAAGGACATTTTTGTAGAATCTTCTGATACCAAGAGCATTCTGTCTATGTGCTCTGGTTGAATATATTCAGTTGATTTTGATTGTATTCTGTGAGGGGTTTGTGAGATCTGAAGGAAAAATTGTGTCTCTGAGCGTTGTTTCTTAGAGGAGCAGTTCTTACATTAGAGTTAACACAAACAATGCCATTAATTTAATGATGAAACTGACAGTGAAGGTCTAAGAAAATGTGAAGGACGCAACAGATATCTAACACTATTTGCGGTGTGATAAACTCAATATCCTATAAAAGTGTGAAAGTGTTGGATAAACATAGAAGTTTCACAAGATTAGTGAAGTCATACCTATTTTGGCAGTAGAAAATGTGGCCCCATCTAATTAAAATGTGAAGCAAGGAGATGGTTTGCTATTAAAAAAATCCCAAACTGTGATGACTATAAACTATTTTCTGTTTCCTATATACCTTTTTTTATCTCTTGTGCTTTTATACCCCATTAAGGAGCTATTAATTAACCATGATCTGTGTGCCCCTTCTCCTTTTGTAATGGTGAGCTAAAGTGTGCTGCATTTTGATATTGTACCCAGAGAGAGTCTGAAGCATTCCAAAATATCTGATTAGATGAATAAATACATCTTATTCCCACATGGTCTTCACTTTCTCATGCTCAAAATCCTAAGCAGGGCTGAGTTAGCTGTTGCATCTTGCAGAACACTTGAAGTTGTTGTAGTTAGTGGTATATTTTGAAATGTAGTGGTTAGATAGGAGTTTCTGAAAAATGCAGCTGTATTTTGGGCAAGTCTAAAATAASAATAAAAAGCATTGCCAAATAATAACTTGAAATTACTTCTGGCAGCCCGTATGTATCAAATACTTCAGCTTTGGGTTCAGAATTTGAACAATATCAAAAATCAAAATAAATTGGTTTTTTTTTGTTTTTTGGTTTTTTTTTTTAATTATTTAATTTGACATTCATGATGAGACCTATTCAAAAGCAGAGGCCTAGTTCAGTTTTGGAGTTACTTGGTTAAAACCAGCCAATCAAAAAAACTCAAATCTAGTAAATGTATTGTATTTTTTCTTGTGATGACACCACTTATGGAAAAGTCCCTTTCATTTAATTTGGATTTTTGGAGAATAGGCCAGTTGAGTGAAGCTTTTTCAGTAGTTTAGGCTGACAAAGACCAGCCATGAGAAGATATTAGTTACTTCTTTCTTTGGATTGAAGTGCCTAGTTTGTTACAACTCTTCCCAYTGGAGTTTTCTTTTGCTAACACTATCAGCATTTGGGTACCAAATGGATATTTTTGCCATCATTGGTGATGAAAACTTACTGAGCAAATGCAGCTCTATTTTCCCAGCATACTTTGACTTTCATTTTTTAACTTGATCATTCTTTTGGTTAGCAAAATTGACATGAAAAAAAATTGTAATTTTTTTTTGAGAGAAAAGAATATGTCCTTTGATAGATGTCTTAGCTTGTCCTATACATAGGGAAGGATAATCTGTTTTGACTTTCTTCTGTATTAGGGCTGCACTGACAAGGAACAGTGGGCAAAACAGATTTTTGTGGGCAATTGTGATATGCAGAAGCAAGCATCATGTGTGGTATGAGCCGAAGACAGCAGGAAGATGAAAAGGACAGACATAACCATACCATGGATGTGTGGTATCTTATTTCAGGAGAGAAATTTAAATTAGTAAGAATTCTTTAATTTGAGTTGTTCCTTTAGGCACTGAGACAAAAAACATGGTAAATTTGTCAGAATACATATATTTGGAATATTGATTTACCTATAGTCTGGAACTTTTTTTTGTGACTTGTATCAGCTTTAATGTCCAAATATTTTTTTAGTACCCCTTGCTTGGACTATGGCTGTCATGCTGAAAACAGTTAAATCCTTGGAGTCTGCAGATCTGTTGAAAGCAAAGCTGCCAATTTAACAGTCATGTTTTAAAGCATGAGTCTTCCGTTAAAAATAACATCTGAATACATCATGACTAGCTCATTAGACTTTTCTCAGATCTCAAGCATTGCAAGTCTGTGTTTGCCTTCTGTTTCTCTCTAAAACGTGTCATGCTACATTGAAACAT